AAAGGATCAGCTAGGGATGCAAGAACTCCATAGGGCAGGGCCTTGATTGCTCCATGCCACCACTCACAAATTGGAACGGCAAGCATAGAAAATATTTTAACATTTATGTCATATCATAGGAGAAACATCCCTGGAACACCTTCCTCCACTCAATGTAGGTCTCTACAACTAGGGGCAAGCAGAATTCCCACCAGAATGATCATTGCCCTGAGGATGAACTTACAAATCTAAATTATAAACTACTGTAAAATTACCACAGCCACAGTGCAATAAAACAAAAATTTCATATATCAACATCAACATATAATATAAAAACCTTTTTTTAAAGGGGTTTAATATCTCCAGAGATAAAGGCAAGAATAAGGCAAGAAAATGATAGCTCTTAAAATAATGGGTGATCAGGAACCTGCTTGGAAAACAAACACTGTCAGATACAGAAGTATAAGAGCATAGTTACAAACAATCCAATTAAGAAACATGGAAGCTAAGTTGAGAAGACCCTCCTGAACATAAACATTTCAGAAAGAGAAGAGAAAGATGGGGACAGGTCAATCACTGAGGAAATCATGACTGAATTTTTCCAGAATTAATGACCTGGATCCTGATATATAAAGACTACACTAAATCCAGAGGTGGATAAAAAAAATATATCAAAGTATATAACAATAATAATATAAAAAATTTAAGGCACTGATTGAAACCTTAGAAACTACGTAGAAAAAAACACTCATTAACAGGAAGTAGGGGAATAAGGGAATGAGTAAGTTAATCAGACTAACAACAGAAAACTAATCAATGACAGTAAGTGGCATATTACAACAGAGTATTTTTTTCAAGTTTCAGGAAAGTGACTCTCAACTAGCTGTCTGTAACCACTTAAATGATCATTCAAAAATAAATATAAAAACAAATCATGCTCAGCCATTTAACACAAAATGCTTCATAACACAGAATTTAGCTCAAACTAAAAGAGTAGTACTTCAAGAAAAAGGACATTGAAGCCAGAAAGAAAAATAAAGAGATTCAAGAATGAATAATGAGCAAAAGAGTTGATAAATGTGTTTTAAAACTCTTCTAAACATTCATTTAACATAAAAAATGATAATGACAACAGGGACTCATGGAGTGTGGAATTCTATAGGTTACAAATCTGAAAGAAACTAAATGACAATAATATGGGAAGATTAATAATTAGAATTTGCTGTTAAATAGTCTAAGATCCTTCTGTTGTTTGGGAAAAGACTGGATATATTGATGAAATGTAGGTATTTACTAAATGTAGGTATATACTAAAGTGGTACTCATAAAGAGATTCATCCTGTCTCTCCGCTGTATTTGGCTTCAGTATCCTTTCCCACTAACTTTCTGCCTGTAGAAGATTATTCCAAAGATAAGTGACCTAAAATTTCAATGAATAATCATCCTAAATGTGTCACCCTAGTGCACATTATGCCAGAAGGGTAAACCAGAGGATTAACATTACAAAATTAAGCTATTTGAATTGAAACATGCATTTTCCTGTAGGTGATGCAATCATCCCTCATTCAATACAGATGAATGATGATTCTAAGAAAGGTTATGTTAACAAGATTTCAGGAGGAGCTGGGCTGTGGTGACTTATGCCTGTAATCCCAGAGATTTGGGAGGCTGAGGCAGGGGGATAGCGAGTTCAAAGCCAGCCTCAGCAAAAGGGGCACTAAGCAACTCAGTGAGACCCTGTCTCAAAATAAAATACACGATAGGGATGGAGATGTGGCTCCGTAGTCTCATGTCCCTGAGTTCAATCCCTGGTCCCCAAAAAGATTTCAGGAGGAGAAGTAATATAAAGAGAGAAACTGGGAAAGGTACAACACTACAGACATATATATGGATGGGAGTATGTGCATATGTGTATACAGATCTGTTTATAAAACTTATTTCTATGTTTTTGTTTTATTGATAATTTACTACATGTCAAGTATTCTGCTACATGTTGGTTATGCAGTACTTAGCAAGATAAATCTGGCCTTTATTGTCTGAGATTACATAACATAAAAGACATATATCCTCAGGTAAGGAAAAGGTAATTAAGACTTGCTGTGTTTGAGTACTATATGATAACTCCCTTGGTCACAAAAGCAAAAGAAGACATCATACACAAAATCAACTTTTTCATTTGGATGAGACTAATTCATAGCTCCAAAGGAAAAGATCATAATAACAAGAGATTAAGAAAAGCAGAAGTTTCCCTCTTATTGAAGAGGGAAACTTCTTCTGGAATAAACAAAATCATATAATCTTTCTGTGTATCCTAGAAAGTTGACCCTGTGGACTTGGATGTGTTTTGAAATAGTACTAGACTTGAAAGAACTAGAAAGAATAACACCAACGTCCTATATGTACAAACAAAGACAACAAATGAAAGGAGTGAAAATTCCAAAACATCTTATACATGAAGAAAGACCCAAAAACCCATAACATTTATTGCATTATTATACAAAAACATCTACCTTTCAGGGAATGGTGGGGGTCTAGTTAATACTACTTTGTGTTAGTTGTCTTGTTGCTTTAGGATGTTTCTCTTCAGCAAATTCATTGCAAATGACCTGGACAGGCATTCACCCCAGTTGTTCATTAGCCTATGTGTAGAGTTTCTAGCTGTACAGTCTCCAAATAAAGAAGAAATCTTCCCCTTTTTGTACTCCAAGATAACAACTTTTTAAAATTCTGTTTATTATGTTAGTTCCTTAAACATTTCACCAAACATTTATTCTCCTAGTTCCAAAGAATAAGTTTCCAACACACATTAAACCAAAATAAAGAAGGGATTTATTTATTTAAACAAACACTTTCTAGTTCCCAGATCGGCAAATACCAGAAGGTTGCTTTTGGATGTGGTACTTGGTTAATCATGCCTCTTCAATTCATTGTCATTACCCATAAATTAACTGTTGATCATCAATTTGTTCACCTTGATTTTTAACACAAACTTATTGTAAGAGATACCTCTTAATTTACTTACTTGCTAGTATCCATTTGGATGCTGCTTTCTGTTCTGGATCTAAATGAGAGAGAAAACAATGCTTCCAAATTAATGCTTTAAAAAAAACACCTCCATAATGAATGAATGTCAGACCATTTTGTAACCTGCATTAACCTACAGGACACCACTAAACACCATTAATGAAGAATTTTAAAGGGTTATTAAATTAGGATATATAAATAAGTAAAATTCTTATTTACCCATATATCATGTCCATAAAGAATATAAATTCAAATCCCCAACTAGGGAGAAGAGCAAGAAAAACAATATCCTGTCACTTCCAACATAGGGTATATGTGTCACAGTCTGGTTGGGCATGAATAACTGCGCTGCCACAAAGCCTTGTAGATTGAAACAGCAACTACTTTATTTCAACTCTTACTGGCACTGCAAGCTGTGCTTTTCCACCAAGGCCACTCACTGGGCCTTCTTCCTGGACACACACAAACCAACTGGAAATTCCTCCTCTGGAAATCCCTCCTCTGGCACTTCCCCAACCAATGGGAACTCTCTGGGAATCCCCTCAAGAACTCCAAAGTAGCAGACCTCCAAAGCAGCAGGCCTAGGAGGACAGTGGAGTCTAATATGCAATTGAATACACAGCTTAACATAATCATTATCATCTCAATGGCTTGCTGGCATCACCTCTCAACTACTCCATTCTGGCAAAAATGCCATGTGTCATTCCCACTGGGCTATGGCTCTCAGCATATATGCTTGATTTTGAATATCTGATTATAACCTTCAGATTCCAACCTAATATTTTATCCTATATTTACAATCAAGCAGACAGGAGAGACAAATTTCCCTCCTATATTACAAATGAGAAATGGTAAAAATAAATAAAGACTTTAAAAAAAAATACAAAGTTCTAACTAATATTTAAAAAGGGATATCTCTAATGATAGTTGTTGTTGGAGGATATTGAAAATGTAAAGCAAATAGACACTAAAGCTGAATGCCTTCAGAGTGAAGGGTATGGAAAATGACAACCCCCAGGACAGAGATGACAACCCCCCCCAAAACTGTCTGACCTGGAGGAATAAGGAAGAGAAAGGCAATCATTGCAATCATTAATCCTCTGTCAGTAAATCCTTTCCCAGTAACAAAGGGCCCCAAGGAAAAAGAGCAGTTATTTATGCAATCATAATGGTACTGAAGCTGTTGGTTATTTTTGCTTACACATCCCTTTCCAGGTTCACCCCCAACATCTCCACCAAAAGCAAACATTCATCCTTTCCCAACCACAATGGGTCCTGAAGGGAGGAGGTGGACCCTGAAATGCTGCGCCCTGTACTTTTACCCTTTCCATTGCCAATGAGTCCTAGAAGGAGAAAAGCAAACAGTGAAGCTCTGAGAAACAATGAATCCTGGAGAAAGAGGACAAGCAGTGAACATAGAGTTCTGAGATTTTCCCAGTGACAATGAGTTTGGGGCTTTTTACAACTTCCTTTCTGACTGTCCAAACCAACATGTCAGTTTAGTTGCCAACAATTAAACCAACCTCATTGTAAACTATAAAACTCAGAGCCCCTCTATAACCGATGTCCATTTTCTTATCAGAAAATGAGCCCCTCCAGTGCCTGATTGATTGACTCTTCTGCAGAATAAAGGAAAGCTTGCTGATCCATTTGGGTTCTGCATCCAACCCAGTTATTTTCGCATTGATAATGGTGCCAAAACTGTGTTGGTTACTTTTGCTTATACAGAATATGTAAACTATTTATGTGAACCACTTATAAGCTATGTGAACCACATCAACTTATCAGAAGTTGAGGCTGCCTGGAAACTTGGAGCTGACCTCCTTCTCTAACCCTGGGCACCACGGAAGGTCACATCATTCATGAAATGGGGATAGTAAAAGCTGTCATCACTAAACATTGAGATGCATCAGGGAAATTGCTTTGGACATCTGGATGAAGAAGGAACATTCAGGGCCTCTGCCCTGTTTAGGTACCAGACACTAATTAATACTTCCCATTTGGGGTTTCCATATAAATTTTAAAAGAAACCAAAATCCATTAAACAAGAAATAACAGAGATGAAAATTTTTTAAAAACCTGATTATTAAATTAGTTAGGGAAGTATCTCCACCCCCCCTTCCCGGAGCGTGAGTGCGCGCGAGCACACCCACACATAAAAACAGCTAAGAAGAAAAAGGAATTCAGACACAGGATATTGAAAAAAAAGAAGAGTTAGCATTTGAAGAGATAAAAATCTAAGACTTTTTTGAATTTGAGGAAATGCATGAGTCTTCACAATGAAAGAGAATACTAAGCCCAGTTCATGGGCTATCATAGAACAATGAGAAATTAATTTATGGTTAAAAAATATCAATAGGCATATAAAATGCTATTTGTTGATGATTTTTGTTAAGAAAAAAAAGAATAAAAGGGCTAAGTCAATATAATTAGTCATAGATATTTAAACATCAAGATTCATGAGTTCCCTCATGGTCTATTGAATTTTAGGCATTGGTTTATTTACCTAAGGATTATACTAATATCATACACATTGGGTGACTTCTGGACACTATGTATTATTTTTATTTATTCATTGCACATATCATATCTCCTGTTCAACCAGCCTTTTTTTTTTTTTTGTACTGGGAATTGAACTCAGGGGCACTTAACCACTGAACCACCCCCAGCCCTATTTTGTATTTTACTTAGAGACAGGGTCTCAATGAGTTGCTTAGCACCTCTCTTTTGCTGGGTCTAGATTTGAACTCATGATTCTTCTGTCTCAGCCACCAAGCTGCTGGGATTACAGGTGTGTTCCAGTGCGCCCAGCTCATCAGCCATTTTATTCCTTGTTTGTACAGAGTAGACTTTCAATGAACATTTATTAACTAAGAGACTAATGTATTAGAAACTAAATTACTATGTATTAGTAGTCTAGTTTTCAGTGCCTTACTTTACCAAAGTGGTTAGAAAATATTTAGGAATTTTGAATTTTCAATTCATTCTTGGTTTTCAACATGTATCTTTTAACTCACATACCTACTGAGGTATGTATGAGTGCTTCCTCCTGATTTGAATCTAAAATAAAATGGAAATAATGCTTAGTTAGTACTAAGAAAGCTCACCAACTTTGTGAATAAAAGTCAAGACTATTTTATAATCAGTATTTTGTCTTTTACAAGACTAGTTACCAATAAATAAAATGATGTCCAAAGATCACTTAAAACAAGATGCAAATAACATTTTTATTTGTGCATATATTCATCCACAAAGAGTACAAATTTCAAGTCTTGCAATGAGGAACACACCAAGAAACCAAAGGTATGCTTTTCCTCATATTTTGTTTTGTTTCCAGCAGAGCAGGAAATCTAACCCAGGGCCTGGAGGATTCTAACCAAGCACACCCCAGGCCCTTTTCCTTATCACTTCTAAATACATTCTATACATTTGATCCTGAATGTCTGATTCCCACCTTAATGTCCCAACTTTAACCTTTTATTCATTTTTAAAGAATTGATAACATTTTTAAAATTAAAACCTATACTGATTTCTGGACAATCTGGTAGAGTGGGTTGGCAAAGCCATTTCCCCTTTCCATTCCTCACATACACAAGTGTTGAGAAACCACACACACACATACATACAAATTTAATACATAACTGAGGTTAACAACAGAGCAAGACTTCACCTGTGTCAATAAAAATGATAAAACAGAGCTTACAGGTAACTACTAGCTAAGGTTGAGTGACTGCAGAAATATCTAATCCAGTTATAAATTTTAGGACTAGAGATTTGATAGCTCTGTTGAGAAGTTGAGGTCCCAGGTTTTGTAAGGTGGAGGAGCTGTTATTTAAACCCTTTAATTTCTACTGACAGCCAGGAAAGGCCATGTCACCCATGAAATAGAAATAATAAAAACTCTGACCAGTGGCCTTGGGAATGTAACAGGAAAATGTGCATACAATGGAAATTTTCCATACAATGGAAAAATGCATCAATAAGAGAAATGGGAATCTCTTTTTCCTTTTTTTTTCAAATTTGCTCCTTTTTATTGGTTCTTGTTTAGTTATATATGATAGCAGAATCCATTTTGATATAATTATGCAAGCATGGAATATATCTGATTCTAGTTAGAGTCCCACTCTTATAGATGTACATGGTGGTGGGATTCACTGTGTTGCTTTCATATAGGTGATTGGGAGAACCATGTCAGATTCATTCCACTGTCTTTCCTTTGCTTATCCCCCCTCCCTTCCCTCTATTCTCCATTGTCTAATCTATTCTTCTTATCCTCCCCTTTCCACCCCCTTATTGTGGGTTAGCTTCCATCTATCAGAAAAAAACCTTTTACCTTTGGTATTTTGGTACCAGCTTACATCACTTAACATATAGTCTCTGGATCCTTCCATTTGCTGGCAAATATCACAAAGTCATTTTTCTTTATGGATAAGTAATACTACACTGTGTATATATACCACAGTGAGAAATGGGAATCTCAAACCTCCAAAAAGTACAATTTCGGGCCCCCAGATCAAAATCTTACACATTCTTAAACCCTGGCCATAGCAATTATTTTAAATATTTTTGCCTTAAGAAGAGCAAAAATAAAATAACCTACATCTATTTTTCTATAACACAACTATATAATTTCATACTACTATATGATTTATATACCACTTGGAGTTAATAACCCCAGAGAAAAACAATGAATTCATATACTAGGAGCTACAAATGCATATGTAATCTCCATAGAGATCTTTGTAGGAACAGAATTCTTAACTCTAGCACAGTGTAGAGATGGAAGATTTGGAAAAATAAAAGTGATCTGAGAAAATCTTTATGAGACAGAGATTTTAAATAACCTGTTAAAGTGAACTTACAAACCATAAAGGCATACACTTCCATCTATGGCCAAGATGAAGAAAAAGACTATATTTACCCTCCTCCCTGATACAACTGAAAATCCATACAAAACATAGGAAAGAAGGGTTTTCAGACATTAGATATGATACAATGCAGTATGGTGAACTTTGAGGGAAGAAAAGAAAATGAGCC